ATTGAAGTACCAAAGGAATGGGTAAATACACATCCATTTTTTTTCGTTTAATTAGCAACTCATTTTCACACATCTCTTTGAGCTACAGATTTTGAAAGACCTTATTACACTATAGAATATTTTTACACAGTTGTGATAACTCATAAATTGTTGAGATTATTCATCCACTCTTCTAAGTAACAAATATGTAATGAAACTATGTTGAGAAAGAGTGGAGGGTTGGGAGTATAGCTCTGCGGTAGAGTGTTCACCTACTGTGAGACTGTACATTTAATTACCACCACCACCAACAACATATACACACATACACATCATCATCATCATCATCATCATCATCATCATCATAAATTTTATAAATAACATAAAATGCCTACCATTGGCACAAGGTTTTTAAATGACATAATATTAAATCAAAGTTATCAATTTGAAGGCAACAGTCACTGGTTCCCTTTATTTTAACTTCAGTAGTGTGTCTGGCCCAATTAAACTACGACCTTTGAGAATGTTATGGTTGCTGTGATGTTTGCACAGGCTCATGTGTTTCAACATTGTATCCCTAGCTGGTGCTGCTGTCTGGGGAGACTGTGAGGCCTGGCTCTCAGAGGTGGGTCACTGAGGGCAGACCTGCGGATGTTACAGCTCAAGATTCTGCTTCTGGTCTCCTTCTCCGCTGATTCCTCCTTCTGTAATGTGCTGTCACTTTTTCATGCCTTCTTCACTATCATGGGCTTGTGCCCTCTGACACCATTAACCAAAATAAGATTGTCCTCATGTGAGTTTTTTCTGCCAGGCATTTTACCACAGCAACATGAAATGCAACTAGCAGCGGTAATTTTTCTAAAAGTCCTTAAAGTTATTCTAGTGGGAATTCATAAAGAAGAACTAAAGATTTGTTACGGCTCTCCCCTCCTCCATTCCTTTCTCCATCCTTCCCTCATTTTCTGTCTTGGCTATTTTTCTATTGATGTGAAGACCATGACCAAAGTGACTTACAAAAGAAAGTGTTTAATCAGGGGCTGGCTTTCAGTTCATGACCATCATGGTGGGGAGCTTGGCAGCAGGCAGGCCTGGTACTGAAGCAGCGCCTGAGAATTTACATGTTGGGACAGCAACCACGAGGCAGAGAGAGAGAGTGGGGGGGGGGGAGCATGCTAAGTAGAAATGGCCTGAGATTTTGAAACCCCAAAACCTATCCTTAGTGACACACACCTCCTATTCCTTCCTGAACAGTTCCATCAACTGTTCTCATTCAAACCACCACATATTATTATTATATTATTATTATTATTATTTTATGAAATTAAAGTTCAGAGGTCCTAAGCAGGTTGTTCTATATTAGCGGTCTGTCAGTACTTATACTGACACTTTGAAAATAGAAGTTAATAAATTATAATGCTAAGCCACTAAAATCAATGATCCCTTTCCTCCAAACACAGATGTTCTGATAGGCAGTGGAAACAGACTGGTCCATCAAATCAGTTGGTGAACATTGCCAGGTGTCTCATCTGATCAGAAGAATCTCCTTGGGATGCTTGCTAATCATCCTGATTTCTAGGCTTTTATTTGGGATATTCTGGTGTGATAGGCTTGGAACAGGATCCAGAAACTGGAATTTTTAATAAGCACGTAAGCGATCTTATCCTGTTATGTTTGGGGATCATTGGCTTAGATGATGTCATAATTTCCATCTCCAGGTGCCAGTAAAAAGGCCATAAAGCGCCAACCTCAGTGAAATGATTTGGGTTCACACCCAAGGAAGGAGGCCAGTGTCAACGACCAGGGTGCAGAAGTAAGTCAAGGTGTGCTGATAAGTGAAGGAGAATGAAGACTTGAAAGGCAAGGACCAGTACAGGGCCCATTTAGAAATGAGTTGGCAGTGTGCTGGCAATGGTGTCTTCAAGCAGAAATGAACAGTGATCTCACATTGGGTGGAGGCCCAGATACTAGGATAAGATCGGAGGCGTTTATTTCTCTGAAGAGTTCTGATTCTTCCTGCAGCAGTAAAGGATCCTAAGCAGTCCATGGGTAAGAATACATTGATGACTGTCTGAGCACAGCACAGAAGGGTAAGACACGGAACGCCAGGCAACAGAGTGACAACTCTTGAGAAACAGACTCCAGCAGCCACCACAGTTAAAATGAAGTGCAAGGCAGTTTTATGATAGACCGCCGGGACTGTGAGCATCATTGACAGGAAAACCTTGATAAGGCTACAAGAGTTAGATAGGGATTTTTTACAGGAACTTTGACAGACTCAGGTCTCAGGGTGGACAAGATCTAGACAGACACAAAGAAAGGCATTAACAAACAAGGAAGCCATAGAGTAAGAGACATGAAGAAGCAGGCTTCTACTCAGCAAAATGTAGGAGAGTGGAGCATTTAATGGAGGGAGGAGAGACAAGGAGTAGAGAGAAATGACCTGGGAAGCACCTTGAATGTCACATAGTGAAATTTAAATATGTTCCTTCAGAAAATAAGGATTTATGTGTGTCTTTCTTGGATCATCATTCAAGGAGGAACATTACAGTGGTTCTGGAATGGGCTCTTGCGATGAGTAGGAATAAGGTGGTGTTAGTAAAAAGGGAAAGAAACACAGCTGAATACCTTGCATGATAGTGAGGGACTTGGCAGAGAAAGCAAGGATGAGGGAGGAAATAAACTGGGACTTTATACATTTTAAATTCACATTCTGCAGTGTATTTTTGTGGTAATACCATTTTTGTTCATCTACCCGTCCAGGTGGCATTTAAGATATCATCCTGATAGTCGTATCAAGGCTTAAGATGAGGGTCCTAGAGATATCATCTTTTTCACTATGAGCCTCTTCAAGTCCTCCTGGGCATAGAATAGGGCACTCAAAAATAGCTATATAGCTTTTAGATCACTTAATATGTATAATATTATACTAATTAGATTATATTTACTTTCTCCTTAATCCTGTCAGAAGTCTGATAGTCTGGTAGAAGATGATTTCCTTCATTAGGTACACATCACAGATCAAATAATTGGGTTTCTGAAAAGTTAATTCTCCTAATGATAAACAGTGGACAGGGATTCAAGCATTTTGAATCTAGGGAGTTGTCTTTTAACTACTATACTATATGGTCAACTTGATGCATTAATGATATATATTACTGCTACTATTATTCCCGGGTAAATGGATGCACATTCCTGAATCCACTCATTGCCTAAGTCAGTTGACTTGCCTATAAAAATTGCATATGCTACCTAAGACGAACAAATCACAAACTAATGAACAAAGCTGGAAATTCTTGATCGACAATTCAAGTTTATTCCTTCTCCCTTCTGCATGTGGAAAAGTCAAGCTTAAACATTAAATGTTAACTAAGTGAAGAGACAAAATATAAACAAACGGGACTACCTTAGAACAATTACACAAGTCTAACCACCACATTTTAATTAAAATACAGACAATTAGCCCCCTTAACATGCAAAAGTGACCCTGAGAATATGGGTTTGGTGCGTTAGACTCAGTGATGGAGACTGTCTCGGGTATGGATGTAGGACACACCAGTACTGAGTGACAGCCAAAGGACAAGCAGTGTAGGACAGAGGTCAAGGTCTTAGAGCACAGAGCCAGGCTGAGACCAAACCATGGCCCAGTGCAAATGGTTTCTGACTTATGCACTTGAGTTTTCTCATCTGTAGCATAGGGAGAGTCACAGTTGTTAGGAGGATTAAATGCATTAATGCGCTTAAGTGCTTGAAATCCAGGCAATCTAGCTTCTAAACTCAAGCTAACAACCCTCAAGCTACATCAGTCTAGAATTGCCATCATCATTATTATTATGTGGTTATGGTTATTACATCATCATGTAAAAACATGAGTGACTTAAGGAGACACTAAAGAACCCCCCCAAGGTTACAGTAATCTAGGCTGAAAAGCTAAGAGCCTTCATTAAGGCAGTGGCTTTAAAAGTAAGGCAAAGTGGCACATACCAGTAATCCCAGCACTTGAGAGGCTGAGTCAGGAGGATCATGACTTTGAGGTCAGTCCAGAACACATGGTAAGACCTTGTCTCACGGAACTGTGAGGGGAAATGTGTTCAAATCACATTGCATACTTGGATGAAAATCTCTTTATGGAACAGTGTGATGTACGATGGCTATTGTACACAATGAAAAAGGTCAAAGTAAAGTCTAACTAAAAAAAAAAAAAAAAACAGCAACAATACCCCAAACCCAAACAAACAACAACACAATCAGGGATGAAAGGAAATGAGAAAGCTAAGGTGGCTGCTGGGCCATCACCGTATTGTCATTAAGCAGCTGGAGGTGGAAGGAGACACATGCCTCGTGCCATGATGCCAGTGTAGCACAGGAGCAGTGGGTAGACGTGGAGTATTGCTGCCCCCACCACAGTCTTGCTAAGAACTCTCGGGTCTGGGTACAGGCTTGGCTAAAGTGTCATGCAGAATACTTTCACAGTTCATGACTCTGTTTGATACATTTCTTGATTTTCTTAAGCTGACCTACTGTTTTGGTTTGGTTTGGCTTAGTTTTTGTTCTCACTATGTAGCCCAGGCTGCCCTCAGACTCATAATCCTTCTGCCTCAGCTCTTTAGTGCTGAAATTACAGGCACATACCACTATGATTTGTTAAACAAGCTGATTCTTACATGCAGTCCTAAAATGTCACAAAGGTTGGTAATCTTACTGTTGAAGTGGCCAAATGACTCTTTCAAAGCCATTTTTATCAATGCTAATAATTTCATTAATGCTTTTTAATAACTTATCTAATGTTCATGAGATTATGTTTATTATCATTTGATTGTTTTAGCAGAGCTTAAATTACTAGGGATCAAAGCAGACACAAAAAAACCCAGCCCTTGTTTCTTGAGATTGCTGTTTCCCTTAGTTCAGAGTTCAGTTCTTTATAGGTTCCTTTAGAAGCTGGACATTCCTAGAAGGTGACTAGTGGGGTGGTCATATCTACATCAGAGCCTAGCACAACTTTCTACCTCTCAATGTCATTACAGTGACTGGTGAAACATGCTTCTGAGGGAAACAGCTGGGTTAAGACCCACCTCTCCTACACTCTCAGCAGGCCTGATGTAGCCCCTGGCTGATCTGGAATTCACTCTGAAGACCAGGCTGGCTTAAGATTTGCTGTGTGGTAAGTGATTTTTAATATTGGCCATCAACATCAGGAGCCGTTGTGGCAGTGGCCCTGAGCTTTGTAAATGCCCCACTGCACCCATTACCTGCACCCACCCGATGCCAGTAGCAATTTCATACTCCGAGTTATTACAACTCAAAGTGGTCCTGAACACTGCCATGTTTCACCAAAGGGGAAAATAAGCCCCAATTAAAAGCCACTTAACCATCTCACTGCCAATTTTAAGCCCACATGAAGTGAGAGCTTATGATACACATGTTCTGTCACCAAGGGCTTCCAAGATTGTTGTTTCTTACATATGATGTGATTATCTAACAACAGTATACCTTTACAAAGTGAGCTATTTATCCAATCTGCAGGATAAGTAGAAAATATGTACAAAAAAAGTACACAGGAGACGTGCTTTTTGGTAAGCATCTCACCGACTGTTCTTTAGCAAGTACTTTGAACCTATTCGATTGAGACTTCTTATGTAACTACTACATCCTTGGCACCGTTCCCACCCACCAGGCTACAAACACGTTCTATACTTTCAAGGAAATTTCCCAGCTGGGCATGGTGACACATGCCTGTGATCTCAGCACAAACGAGGACAAGTCAGGGGGATAAAGGCCAGCCTAGGCCAGGTAGTGACAACCCCCCCCCCCCCCAAACAAACAAAACCAAACCAAAATCAAATACAACTCACAAAGAATTCTCCATCAACTGGAGAACCAGACAAGGCAACAGTAAATTCTGTAGTGTAATACATATTATAACCAAGATGTGGAAATGTGGGAGCTCAGAGAATGGCTTCCTAAGGAAATCAGAGAGAGCTTTTCAGGGGAAACATAGTGGAATTTACCAGACCCAGAAAGGGAATGAAGTCCTAAGCAGGAAACAGCCTCTGCACATGATCAGAAGCATGGCTGTTGAGGCAGTTAGCATGTGTGCAGATTGGAGTAGGGGAGTTAGGAGTGGCTGGAAGGAGACAGGGGAGTAGATGAGAGCTAGGTGTTATAGGGGTTTGAAAGTAACAGGCACAGATCTGAGTCCAAAGGCACCCACTTCAGAGTCCCAGGGATACCTCTTGATACCCAGGTTCTAGCATCCTAGAGTGATGAATTGGGACTGGGACAGATGGTAAGAAGTAGAGATAGAGACAGATTATTAAGATGGGGAAACATTCCCAAGAATGGGAGTAAACTAGTAAGTCTTTTTAAAGACAAAACAGCCCTGTCCTAGGAGCCCCATAACCCTTTATGGGATATTTATACAGTAGCAGCTCTAACACATTACTATAGCAGTGAGCTTTTCTTGACCATGCTCTGTTTGTTGTAGGGAGCGTACATGGGGAAGGGTTTCCAGACTTTCTCTGCTAACTAGCTTCCTTTATATGTTAATTTTTTTTTTCAAGACAGGGTTTCTCTGTGTAGTTTTGGTGCCCATCCTGGACCCCGCTCTGTAGCCCAGGCTGGCCTCAAACTCACAGAGATCCTCCTGGCTCTGCCACTCGAGTGCTGGGATTAAAGGTGTGCACCACTGCCACCTGGCATATGTTAATCTTAATAATATTTTCTCCAGTATCTATCCTCCTGTCACAAACTGAAGGCTTCCTATGCAGCTCTGGCTGACCCGGTATACACTATGCAGACAACCCTACCTTCAAACTTGCAGCAATCCTCCTGCTTCAGTTTCTCACGTGATGCAATTACAAGTATATATCCTCACTCCTTGCTTGCACTTTCCCCCTGTAGGCTATGAAGAAACCCTTGGGATCTTAGCAGATGAGAGTAGCTGAGCTCTCATTTAGAAGTCGTCTGGTCAACTTCAGTTTTCCTTAATGGGCACCAGGACCTGGCTTTGCCCACTGAGATGTTTGTTAACTACTTAGACACATACATCTGTGATGTTTAGGGGAAAAATCCTGTCTAAGACAATAAATCCTTGTGCTTCCTGCAGGTGGATGTAGGACAAATAAAGTCTCAAGGTGCCTAGAATTGACTAGGAAAAGCAATCACGGTGTGTCACAGAAGCCAGGTCAATGAGAAAACTGTAGAGAGGGCAGGGACCATTAGTTCTGAGAGCTGGGGAGTCTAGGGAAGCTTCTCGGGACTTTGATGGCATTTGTCAATGGGACAAAGAGTGTGATGCCTCCACTGGGCATCACTCAGAAAATTCACTTTTACCTGTGAAATATTATGCCTTGTTGTTTTAATAAACTTAAAATCACTTTGGTCTAAATTTTTAGAAGATGTGGGTGTGTGGATAGACTCATTGATGGCCTCACTCACATAATTTCCATTGGGGTCTTACTGATCATGGCCTTCTTTGTTTCATTTTCTTTGTATAATTCTGATCACTTTAGTAACAGATTCTGCTGCGTGCTTTATTCATTTTGCTTAACTTCCCAGCCACGAATGGGACTTTTGCATGGCAGAGATTTACACAGATTTAGTTCATTGCTATGTATCTAGTACCTACTAAAGGCCTGGCATATAGATTTTAATAAATATCGTTTATAGATTTAAATAAATATAGTTTCATAATTACTTACATTAGATTTACCTAGTCCAGTTAAATTTATCATGTTAGTATCTATTAATGGCTATTTTTAACCAAAAAGTTAAATGCTTTGAAACAACTTTATTTTTTTTAGTTTTATTTCATGTTTTCCAAAGGGAATACATTGTTCATATTGTATTTATTATTATTATTATTATCATTATCATCATCATCATTATTATTATTATAATACTCAGATCCTCATTCAGGTTCAAAGTTAATAAATTTATGATTAAATCTCTGATACAGTAAACATTTTGTTCAAGAGAGGGTTTCTCTGTGTAGCCCTGGCTGTCCTGAAACTTGATTTGTAGACCAGGCTGGCCTTGAACTCAGAGATCCACCTGCTTATGCCTCTCAAGTGTTGGAATAAATGCATGTGCCACTGTGCTTAGCAAAAGTTTTTAATTGAAGTAGTGAAACTCGTTTTGGAGATCTTGAGACCAATAAAGTGCTACATATCTATAAATATTTATAAAAACTCAATCTCAAAAACAAAACTACACTTTCAATAGGTCAAATGTGTTGAATCACTTTAAGAACACATCTAGGACAAGTGGGTATTTAATTCTATGGAAATACTAGATATGCCTCTCTTTTCTCCCCCTTTTCCATCTCTTCCTCAGTAATTCTTTACTAAGTTGTAATTGAACAGTGGTTAATTTAATGAGTCACACAACAGGAATTTGTTCTTGTTATCGAGGAGATGAATTTAAATGAAATTAATCTCACTGCCTGTTGCTTTGAATTCAGAAACTCTGTTTGGATTTGTCTTTCCCTTGAGGGTTGTTTTAGTCTGGGTTCCCTAGAGGAACAAAATTTGTAGAATGAACACACACACACACACACACACACACACACACACACACACACACACACTTGGTATTTGTTAGAATGGCTTACAGGCTGTGGTTCAGCTAGTTCAACAATGACTGTCTACCAACAGAAAGTCCAAGAATCCAGTAGGTATTCAGTCCATGAGGCTAGATGTCTCAGCTGGTCTTCAGTATACACTGGAATCCTAACGAAGTCTCTAATACCAGTGAAGGAATGAAACTGCCAGGGAGAGTTAGGGCAAGCAGGCAAGGGCAAAGAGCTTCCTCCTATGTCAGTGATTCTCAACCTTCCTAATGCTGCAAACTTTAATGCAGTTCCTCATGTTGTGATGACCCCCAACCACAAAATGATTTTTATTGTTACTTCATAACTGTAATTTTGCTACTGTTATGAATGGTAATGTAAGTATCTGTGTTTCCTGATGGTTTTAGGTGATCAGGGTCATTATACCCCTAGACGGGTCTTGATCCACAGGTTGACCTTTATATAGGCTGCCACCTGAAGGTGTGGTCCAGATTTAAGGTGGATCTTTACACCTCTGGATTTAGGGTGGATCTTCCCACTTCAAATGATTAAGAACAATTTCTCACAGGTATACCCATTCACTGGGGTTTTAGTTAATTTCAGATGTAGTCAAGTTGACAACCCAGAATAGCCATCACAAAGGGTATGGTGGTAGCAAGTGCTTATTCCTGGGAGGTGTAGTGGCTTGAATGAGAGTGGCCCCCATAGGCTTGTGTGCTCTAATATTTATTCTCCAGTTGGTGGAACTGTTTGAGAAGGATTAGGAGATGTGGCTTTGTTAGAGGAGATGTGCCACTAGAGGTAGCTTTGAGGTTTCAAAAGATTGGTGTTATTCTTAGTCTCTCTCTTTCTCTCTCTCTTTCCCTCCCTCCTTCCCTCCCTCCCCCCTCCCTCCTTCCCTCCCTCCCCCACTTCTCTCTCTCTCTCTGCCTCCTACTGGCAGACCAAGATGTAGGCTCCAAACTCTTCCTGCTGCTGTGCCTTTGCTCTGAGAGAGCAAGACAAACTCCATTTTAAAGAAAAACTTCATTTCTAACAGCGCTTGGTCAGAAGCTGAACTAAGTTCCAGTAAACACCTCAAAAGAATAGCCTCAAAAGAAATCATAAACAGCCAGCCAGGGCCCTGGTCAAGGTGACCCCACCAGGGTGGGTAGGCTGCTGGCCAATGAGTAATTTTGATAAACAACATCTGCTGGTCCTAAATGTCCTTGGACAGCATCTGTGGGCTCCAAACATTCTTTGATAACCATTGTTGTTGAAAATTCCTTTGGACCCCAACCAGTAAATTCAAAGGTTACCCTTACCCAATCCTATGACACCAAGGCTTGTACCACCCTGCTTTCGGTTTTTCCCTTTAAAAATCTCTCACTCTGGGAGCTCAGGGCCCTCCTCCTCCACCCACTGTGTTGGCATGTTGGACACAGACCAAGCCGGGCTTATGCATGTTTGCATCAGAAATCGGCTCTGTGGTGATCTTGCTCAGGGGTCTCGGGGCATGGGCACAACAGCTTCACCCTAAATTCTATCCCTAACCCTAACCCTGAAACTCTAAGCCCTAAATGAACTCCTTCTTATATAAATTGGTCATGGTG